ATTCTTTTTTATATCTTGTTCATTCAAAAATTCACTTTGAATGAACAAGATATAAAAAAGAATATGTCAAACAAAGACTGTATTTTTCTGCACGATCTAACTTTAATCTAAAAAATCTTTTGGGATAACATTTCTAAATTTCAAAATCGGGATAAATGTTCTACAAATTAGCAATGTTTGAAAAAAATATAAAAAGTTGGGAATAAAAAAAAAAGCAACTTTTTGAATACGATAGAAGTTTAGAATATTTTGTGTAAATTCCAGGGTTTTGGCACAATCAACGCAATACGCGAAAAAATACCGCGAAAGCGAATTTTTCCTTGGAACATGAATGGGCATCGCCAGTGGATAACCTCTTACTACATGGATTTTCAGGATGAGGCCACGGGAAGTTTGATCAGTTTTTATTTATGTACTTTTTATCAGAATATCTAATTAAGCAGCGGCAAATCATCGGAAAAAAAACATAGTTGGTTTATTTAGAAGTTTGCGAGAAAGCACTTTAATTGCTCAAACTTACCAGGTATTGAAGCTGAAGACTCTAGGAAGATTCACTTGGACGAATATATCTACGGTGTTAGGTTTACTCATTCTGCATAATTGCGCTTAACAGGACCTTACCTTTTACATTTCTTTCAATTTCTGAATAAGTGCTGTGTAGATTTTTGATCTTTCTATCTTTTATTTCGTAATTTCGCTTTTTCTCGTAAAACTTTTTAGGCTTCAGGAGGTGCTGTTTTTTTAAAGGAAGGAAATTGTGATTCATTTTTCCTTTCTTAACTTATAAGGAAAAATGGGTTCTTCATCTGAATTTTTCTACTATCAACCCGCATTTTTATGACGAAGTTTTTGACGCATATGGAAAAGAACTATAAAAATTAGAACGGCTTTTTAATGTGGAACTTATATTTGGAAGCCTTTTAATTCCTTCAAGCTTTTATTCCTTACCTGAAAGGAGTTTCAAATACCATACTTTTTGTAGTGTCAGAAATGCAGAAAAACATACTGCTTTGATTGACTTTTTACTTTTTCTTGCGTCTAAAATAAGGAGGACTGGAAAATTTAAATTTCTTGAGAAGAAACTAACAGCTTGTGAAGATAATGATCAAAAATAACTTTTTTCTGTTTTTTATTATCTGTTTGTCAAGCTTTTTTTTAGAGTGCCTAAATAACTAGACGCAATAAGATGAAATCAGATTTAAGGATGAATTGATGACACCCCAGCTATCACATTACAGAAACTACTTCACCTTCATAACAGCATCAATTCTTGAAGGAACAACAAGGGAGAATCAGTACGTCTTCTAACTTTGACACCAGACCTCCATAATATCGCACAATTAGTTAGTCGCACAATGACAGTTATACTGGTTTCATCCACTTTAAATCATTGAGCTACAACAGTTTCTAAAAGCCATCTTTTCTCCGATTGTGTACTGACTGCCAAAAAGCTTTTTTAGACCGTTACATAATGAACAGACTTTTGGGTTAAGATTACCTCGCCATTTAGTGGCTCTTTGGCATGAGGATCTCCTAATGAGGTGCAGGCATGCACATTGTTAATTCTTTAAGAGACTTTCTTGTTTTAAATGAAATAGCATATAGACGGCGATTTTATGTTTATCATATCAAGTAATTTAGTCATTTTCTTGGCCGTAAATTTATATTATATTAAACCTAAGATTGCCAACTAAAAATTATGATTTTGAATGTCATGTTTAAGAAATTTTTGTGTAATCTAATTCGTAATCAGTGATTCATTTTTTCGACTTCAAATGCAATTCAAAAGCCACCTATGTTTTTCTCATAAAAGTAATACTAGCAAAACCTTATTTAAAAAATTGCATCACGCAAATTATTGACATTTACAAAAGTTCTATTACTTTATCACCAAACTTCAGACCGTGGTACAAAACAAATCGAGCTATGGTTGCTGAAGAGACTGCTGGCTACTGGTACGGTAAAAACTGGGGGTGCAAATTTACGATGGCTAGTTGTTACGATTACATTAAAAGCAAACGGTAAAAAAATGATAAAAATATTTCTGGTTTTAAATCTTAACGTTTTTTTGGCTTTTTCAGAAGCATGAACACTTTCCCATTCTGTGGCGAAGCAGACTTTGAGCGCATGTTAGCAGAAAAACCGTATTATAAAAAGGTTTCAGTCAATACAATTTTATTATAATAAACCATAATTTGTTATCCACCTTCAATTGTTTTTGACAGATCTGCTTTCGAAATGAAACATCTAAGTCGCACTTTTTTGCACATTGCTACATACAATCAAACCCTTATCCTGACTGGCATCCAAGTGGCCTCAAGGTAAAATATTAAATTAAAAGTTTTAAACTTATATTTACCTCTAAATATTATACACTTATATACGTATGGACTCTTCAAATCAGGTTTCAAGTTCCAAGTCTGTACAATGTAACCGTTCACGTTGAAGTGCCAGTCTCTTAATTCTGAAAAAATTGTTTAGTGAAAAATTTGCAGTGAGCGATAAAGTACGACTTTTTCAAAGCTTTTCTCATAGTCTTCCCACTTGAAATTTCTCTGATAAGTCTCACTGTTCATTAAAACAATAGTCATTATAAAACCGAATTTAATACTTTATTGCAGTTAAAACAATAGTCATTATAAAACCGAATTTAATACTTTATTGCAGCAACGAAACAGTCGAAAGTTTACATCTATCTATAATTTCGCCAATTTTAGGTAGCAAATGAGCTACTGTATCATTCAGAGTACATTATATACTAAAGAACATTTATTACAGGCTCATCCTTTTTCTGTCTACTTCAGAAATCTCTCAAGTACGGAACTGGCAGAATATTATGGTGCTCATTCCACGTACAGATTTTGTCCGTTAATGCAGGCAAGTTTCTTTTTTAAGATCGTATCTTAACTTTATACTGTAAAAAACAAGCCTCGTCAGCTAAAGTCTGTCAGAGTCGGTGGAAAAGATCATTTAAGGAAGTTCTTTTTGGAGCGCTGACGGATATTCCGCGAAATGGATATCTAACAGACTGTGAAGACAGTGAAACGATTGTTTCAGAGACTTATTTTTGCGATCGCTCGCAGCAGTCAAGTTATTCACACTATAATGTTTATTTGTTTGGCTAACCAAGTCACAAAAAACAAAACTGTGTGGTACTGCAAAAAGTAAAAAATATGGTTTTTGTTTTTTTAATAAGGCAAAACTAAAAATTAAAAAACTTTTAAGTTTTATAATTCTTATAATGTTTATTTCGCTGTACAAGACGATAAAAATAAATAGTATTCCATTACTTTGCTCCCTTACAACTCCAATCAGGCGCACTGAAAAATCTATAAAACCAAATATTTATTTTCAAAATTTATATAACTCTTAAAAAGTCAGAAATAAATATATGAAAATTTTTTCAAGAGCGAAAACAAAAAGAGCAGACTCCAAAAAAAGTTCAAATTTATGTACTCAAATTTAACAGCTTTAATAAAGTTGATGTGACAAAATAAATACGATTTTTATAAAGCATTCTCCTTTAATATATTAAAAAAGCATAGCCTTCGTATTTAAATCGTTTCAGTACAATATATTCAAATATACATATAAATATAACTGCCAATACAGGTGTAAATAAGAATATAAGTGTAATTAAAAATAAAAACAAATAAGTATATATAATGAGATATTCCACGTCAAATCGCACACTTTTTTCCCTTCAAATCTC